TGGTAGAGGACGACGAGCCAGATGAATATGAAGGTTCCTGCGGGGAAAGGAAGGTAGACGCTTAGCAGCAGCAGGAGATGGTGGGAAGCGTCCTGCCGGGATCCCTGCCACTTCCAGGGGGTTCCCCCAGCCCGCTCCTGCTCCTGCAGGAGGGTCTGCCCGTGCTTCAAGTGAGCCATTTGGCCGGGACGTGCCCTGGCTGGATCATGTCCCTGTTCCTCTGCTGAGGAATGGCTTCCCTGGAGGAAAACCACCCCCGGGGGAGCGGACAGGGCTGGGAGCCATGACCAGGTCCATGCCAGTGGCTGGGCCCTGCTGCTGGACATGCCCTGCCAAAGGGAAGGGCATGACAGTGCTGGGAAGGTGCTGGTGCCTCAGGAGCCCTGGTCAACCCCCCGCCAGGCTGGCTTCTGCCTCCTCCACCTTCCCCACCCAGGCGTGGGGAGCCCATCTCAGAGCTGGCTCTGACCTTGGAGGGAGTTGAGGATGGTGAAAAGGTAGAGCATGGGCACGGAGGAGGTGCCGTAGGTGAGGAACGCCAGGGCCCAGGTGGCTCCCAGCAGGCAGAAGAGCCCCATGGCCACCAAGGCCACCTTCCAGGCCCTGCGGTCACTCTGCACCACGCCCGTGCCCTGCAGGCAGCAGCTCTTCTGGGTCACCACCCCGAAGACAGTCATGTTGAAGAGAAAGATGAGGCCGAAGTAGCCGCAGTTGGTGATGTGGTGGACCAGGAGATGCCCGGAAATGATCCAGCACCTGGAAAGAGACGGCCACAGTGCCTCCAGCGGCTGCTAGCCCTGGCAGCAGTGCTGTGTTGTAATCACGATTAGGGAAGCGGAAGGGCAGCAAAAAGCTGAGTGGGACAGGCGCAACCCCTCGATGCCGCACTCCCGGCAGCACCGGGTCACTGCTCCCCGTGCCAAAGGGCCACCAAAGCCCTGCGGGTGCTGGCGCACGCACAGGCGGGCTATGACCTGGTGGTCCGTGGTCTGGATCTCGTATTCTCCATAGTGCCGATGGCTCCTGCTACCCCTACGACGAGAGCGGGGAAGCCTGGAAGAACAAGGGAGACACGTGGAGGAGGCCAGAAAGGCAAGCGGCGGGCGAGGTGCTCGTCCTGGGGTCTCTGCGTGTCCCTGGACGCGCCAGCCTCGGGGAAGACGGGGCTGAGGGACCCGCTGAGGTCACACAAGTGGCAGGGGCACA